AGAGAGAGAGAGAGAGAGAGAGAGAGAGAGAGAGAGAGAGAGAGAGAGAGAGATGATTGATGGATAGACAGCCAGACAGCTAATTACAGCTAATGTAATTGCAGTTATGTCATATGTTCTGGACAGGGAGAATGAATTTTATTTGGGGGTTTTGAGAGAATTTGTGTCTGTGTGTTGTAGTGTTGATTAGTTTGTTGTGAAGAGTTCTACATTTATATGTGGCCCATATATAAATGCAAACAGATAATTTACTATTTGGAGCACAGATGTCCCAAACCTAGTTTCATACATTTATTTTAATTTATCAGTTTAACTCTTCATGCTGAGCATTTTCCTCCACCACACTTGCCCATTTCCCTCCATTCTTACTAATCATTTTATTAATTGTTAATCTTCTCTATGGCATTATATTTTTCTGTTTTCAATCATTCAATGTAAGTGAAAATAGCCAAGTTTTCAAATTTTACACAACCCTCACCGTCTGACTGTTAAGGAGATCTGGTGATACAATAACTGTCAAAGAAATGTACATACAAAATATTCTAAAGAATGCTTTATTTTCTGAAATAGAGATCTATAGATGTTCAACTCTGCTCTCAAATTTCAGGATGCTCCAGACAGCAAAGCCAGTGCTGAGAATTCAGGGAAATTAAGTCCACATATCTGGAGAACAGATGGGAAAACCAACCTAAGCTGTCACTCTGTTCCCAAGTGACAGAGATGGGCAGTATTTCAAGAAAGCTCCATAAATGATATACTAATCAACATATCATGGAGCTGCCATATCTAAATAAAAGCTTGATGCTGATATTATTCTTAATAAAAATTCCACCACATTGATCCTCTTCTTCTAAAAATAAACATAAGTTATTTTTAACAGACTTTGACATGTCTACCTGTTTCCTGTTATGTTATTTTTGTAGTGTCAGATGATAATTTGCATTTAAATAGAGATATTTAACTGTAGAGCAAGAAGAAGCCTGCCAACTGTCTTTTCTTCTTATTGGGAACTTGAAAGTGTCGGCTTTATTGTTTTCTCCTCTCACTGTTATACAGGCAAAATGAGGTGTTGAAAGTGTAGATAGCACAACTTTAAAATAAATTATCACAAGTCTTTTTGAAGGTCATATAAGTAAATTGGAAGAAAACATGTTTTGCTTTATTTGTTAATAGTAAGGTGTC